TCCAAAGGCGTCGACACGCAGAGACGACGATGCGGCCGCGTGAAACGAAAACGAGCGACAGTGATCTACCTGGAGCACTGGACGGTGGGTTGCCATCTCCAATGCAAATGGGGATGGCCTCGTTGTGGGGTCATGTACAGTACACATTGTCGAAGCAGAGGCCACATGCGTTGGCGCTGCTCCCGTGCGTCGACCCAGCAAAGACCTCAACGACGCCACCCTCCAGCGTCGACGACTCAAGGAAGCCATCCATTCGGACAACACGGGATGTTACTTTAACATGTCCGCTTGCGAGCAGGGAGGAGCCATCCTTGGGCGAACATGGACCACGCGTCGGTTTGGAAACGACAACAACCTGTTCAAAAATCATGGCACAAGTACGACGGCGACCCGTGCTTTTCCTCCATGAACTCTTGAATTTGTCGTGCGTTGGAGTTCTCAATGCAATCGCGTCGAGCTAAACGTGGCCACGAGACTCAGCCCCGCCGTGACGAAGAACATGGGAGTGAAACACCCGCTGCCCAAACACTTTTCCGTGCCGGGGGTGAGTTGCACGCGGTAGAGCGCAGACGAGAGCGGGCCCAGCACGAGAGGAAACCCCACCGCGTTGGCAAGACTCACGAGGCCGTAGTTCTTGCCAAAGTGCCGTCGGCCAAACAACTCGCGAGTCAGTACGGGAAAGAGGCCGAAGACACAGCCTTCGCCAAATCCCGTCAGCACCACTGGAACCATCATGTACTCGACAGGGCACACGACGAACGACAGCTGGACCACCCCCACCAACACGACGCTGGCAGTCAGAAAGTAGCTCCGAGGCACCGTCGACAGCAACGCATCCGAGATTGCTCCCATCGCAAACCGTCCCACCAGGTTGAAGAGCGAGAAGAGCAACACGAGCGTCGGGACGTGGGTGACGTCGCCGCCGTTGGATTCCACGAGGAAGCTCAGGTTGTTCATGACGAAGAGCGGGCACCCCACACCAACAAGCACCACGACAACCAAGTGCCAGAATTCGGCGGTTTGCACCAACGGCCACAACGTGATGTCTCGCTCTTTTACAGAGGTTTCCAGGGATGATTCGTTGTCAATTGCAATGTAGTCTTGACGGGAGCTTCTGGGCTGAATGAAGATGACCCCAAGGACACACAAAACACTAAGCTCCCATCCCATGAAAGTAAAGAAGTTGCCGACGTGGTGTTCAAACCAGGTGTGGTAGATGAGGGAAAAGGCAGCGCCGCCACCGCTGTAGCTTCCAGCCAAGAGGCCCATGATCTTACCACGGTGAGCTTCTCCATAAAGGCCTTCTGTGGCTGCGATGGCGGAAAGGGTCGGGAACGCGTGTGAGAACCCTATGGCCGCAAAACACACCGCCATGAACCAGTGTGGCGCCGACAGCGCCGTCGTCAACCACGCGGCAGTCCAGTAGAATGTGGCAAGACACACGGCACTCACGACAAACGAATACCGAGCTCCGAAGTGGTCGTAAAAGATGCCAACCCAAATCAGGTTGAACTGACCAAACGTAAAGCACGACCCAACAGCCGCGATCTCGACTTGCGTCATCCCGAGCATGCCTTTCATCTCGTTGTTCCATGCAGATATCACGTAGGCGGAACCGACAGAAAACAGGATGAGGGTGCCGACGACGACGCCGATCGCATGGCGCCACGACGAAGACATTTGTTACCCTGTACGGCCGTGGTTGCCGCCCAGCTTTTTGTAATTTCGCTGACCGAGGAAAATTGGAAAAACCATGTCACGGGCATAAAGTTTTTCAGCATTGGACAACGCGTTTTCGGATTTTTTTCGGTATTTTCCGAGGAATTGCTGTGGTTTTACAAATTATTCGCTTCGACGTTCGGCTGTGTTGCGTGGACAAGTCCACTTCCCGTTCGGCGCTACCCCCGCGCCGCTGTCGTCCTCCACATGACCAAGTACGTGCTGTAAAGATGAGTGAGGGCAATGCGAGACCTCCTCCACGTGTGATGCTCGTATATCTCGCCCTCACGGCGCGTTGTTTTAGTAATGAAATGGACGCTGCGCTGATGCAGTTTGTCAACGCCCTCGGCATTGTTATCACGATCGGCCTCGTCGGGTTCCATTACATGACGTCGGACGAGAAAGACGATGAAGAATAATGGAACGATCGTTATTTAGCACGTATCCCCATACATGCGGCTCCCAAGCACAGCATCGCGTCTAATCTCCCTGCCATCGTCGAACATGATTGACTAACCTCAGGACTTTCCCGCGCAGACATCGTTGCTCTCACTTCACGCGCCATAACTTCCAGCACAATGATCGACCCTCCCTCCATGAGCACACCAGGAAACACACGACGACGTTGTTACTTTTTGTTCTTCTTCCTGTTTTTCAGTTTCCTTCGCTCTTGCTGCTCGCGCAAGGACTGCAGAAGCTTTTCTTGGACACTGAGAGTCTTTTGCTTCTTCACGCCAGGTTGCAAGCTCTGTCCTTTCTGTCGAAATGATGTCTCGTAGTCGTCATCGTCGTCGACGTCGTTAGCAATCGACGTGGAGACTTCCTGTCGCTTCTTCTTGAGGATCTTGGATGCAAGAAATTTGTCTTCATCCTGGTGTACATCGTTAGATTTTCGATCCCTGCACGACTATTGAAGATAGATAGCGTACCGTGGCAAATGCCATCGTTGTTCCCTTGGACTTGGTGTACAACGGCTTGGACGCCTTTGGGGCGACTGTATCTTCTTCAGTGATCGCGGACTTGGATATCCACGAAGACACCACAGAGTACGCGGATGCATTGAACACCACGGCGTCGTCATCGGCGGCGGCGGAGGAATGCTGCTTGGTCATTGTGCTGTTGGCCGTGCTGGTGGTACACGGGAAGTCCGGATAATATTGCGACTATCCGACAAATGTCGTTTTCGCGTTGTTCAAATATTTCACGATTTTTACAGCAAATTTTTACCGAATTGTCAAACCAGACCCATTAACTAGTGTGAGTCGGTTACGCGATTGAGCAAGTGCACGGGCCGTCAAAAATAGGCGCGGCAGGCGACGATGCACCCGCCGAAATGCGCGCAGAACATGGAGCAACGGCTCGCGGCGCTCCGTCGAGATCAAGAGATCGACGGGTTGCGTGTGTATTTGATAAAGTACAACCTGTTTCCTCGGAACCGTGACCCGCAGAACTCCCCCATTCGCATTGAAGAACTCAAGGAATTGGTGAAACATTGGAAACTCCATCGACAGCGGGGATTTTGGCGGGATCACCCCGAGAAAGACGACCTTGTCCGCGCGCTCCTTCAGCACATTCGAACAGAGGCCAGTAGCAAGAAGCGTCGCCAGGATGCGCAAGACAAATTCCGCAAGGTCAATGGTGACCTCGACATCGATCAACAACAGGCGAATGCCATGACAACGTCTGCCTCGTCACCAAGTTTGTTGTCCCCGTCTGGCCAGATAAACGAGATGCGAATGGGCGACAAAACTTCGACTGGAGACCTCTTCTACACCCGTGGCCACTACGACGAGGTAAAGAAACGTTTTGATGTCCGCGCTCACTTGCGACGTGTAGGGACTGATCTATTTGTCGCGGATGGAAAAGTCCAAGCAAGTGCACAAAATGCAACACGAGCACAACGACGACTTGCGCGTTGTGGCTGAGAAAGAGCTCGACTTGCTGGCGCACATGAAGGACAAAGAAGCAACGGCGAATTTGTCCAAAGACATGAAGCTGAAATGCTCCGAGGGCCTGTACAATGTGTCGTGCTACCCCAACAATGAATCGCAAATGCTAGGTCCGTTCACGGATTCATCTCGGCGTGTCTCTGACATGTCGTGCAGCGGAAGGGGCGGTCCCGATCGTGTCTGGCCTTCTCAAGAATCTCGCGAGCGACGACGTCCACGTTCGCCTGTACTGCGCAGCAACGCTTCTCAACTTGTCGATGACCCCCGCGTCCCGCGCACTCATGGTGGACCAAGGCGCGATCCCGCTCGTACTGGAGCTCGCGCACGCCAACAATATCACGTGTAAACTCTGTTGCGCCCACACGTTGTTTCGTTTCTCGGGCGACGAAGACATCCATTTTCATTTGGTGCACGACGGGTGTGTCATGGCGCTTCTCCAGCTCATGGCAGTCGCCCACGACGAACTCAAGGAGCTCTGCATGAAAGCGCTAATCAACTTGTCTGTCATCCCCCGCAGCACGTCCAGCGATACCGTCCTCAGCACACTCATTTCGCTCGCCAAAGTCGACAACGCCGCCATCAACTTGGTACCCTTTCTCCTCCGAGCCATTAAACTGGGCAAACACTTGTCAGATCTGCCGCCATCCATGCCTTTTCTCTTGGATCGGACCTTTTCCAGCGACGACTTTTCTTGTTCATATGACTCGTGATTGTAGGTGTGTGCCAAGGGTCTCCTCAACCTGTCTATCATGCCGACGACCCGTGTCAACGTCGTCGAAGATGGCGCGATCCTGGCGCTGAAGATCCTGTGTTCATACCAGCAAATTCAAGTGAGTGAGCTCGCCAGCGCCGTCTTGTGCAACTTGGCCGCAGTCCGGGCCAACCAGGAGTGCATGGTCAAGAATGGCGCGCTGGCAGTGTTGGTCGAATTGTTTGAGTTGCCGCAACGCAGGCTGGGCAAGCCACACCAGGCCGCCACGCCCGAAGGTTCCTCGTCGGACACGGGATCTGGCGCTCCGTTTGATTTGCATGCCCTGTACACACTCAAAGCAAAGTGGATTCAAAACGAATGCGTACGACGGCATGGTCTTGAATCGCTGCTAACGTGATCCTGTAGGCGTCGTTACCCGCCCTGACCCCAGACCAATCCGTCATGTTGGACATCCACATGCAGTGCGCGACCACGTTGAGCTACTTTAGCTGCAACACCAAGCTCCAACCGCGTCTGGTGTCGGCCGGGTTTGTTCCTCGAGTGCTCGGGCTTCTCGCCATGCGCCACGATGACACGACTAAGACGGTGACTCTGATTTTGTCCAACCTGGCGTCGCACGAGTCGTGCCGCGTCCACATGGTGGCTGACGGATGCGTCCGCCCGATTATTTCGCTCATGTCGTCCAACAACGTCGACATGGTGGTCAAGCAAGACTGCGTCATCGCGCTGTGCAACTTGATGTTGCATCCCCAAACGTACAAGGAAATGGTCGACGACGGCGTCGTGCCTGCGCTCGTGGCATACTCGGAGAACCCGCACCCCGACATCCAAAAGTCGTGTGCGTTTGCACTCCTTAGCTTGACCATGGACACGGGCATGAAAGCCAAACTGGTCGGTCAGGGGGTCATCGTTGCTCTGATCAACCTCGCCGACCGCTGTGCGTCCCGCGTCGACCTGCGTGCTGCGTGCGTATGCGCGCTCTTTCAACTGTCCACGGACCCCGACAACGCCACTGCACTCTTCTACGACGGCACGCAGACCGTTGCAATCACCGTGTTGAACGAACCAATTTCACCGACGCAGCCCGCCGTAAGCCACCGCATGTGGATGCACGCGCTTGCTCTGCTCTCCAACATGGCCACGTACGACAAAGGTCGAAGCGTCCTCGTCGACGACGGTGCTGTCGATGCCGTCCTTCGATTTCTGCAGGTGGGTAGACGCCTCCGTATGTGAAGAGTTGTCGTCTCGATCGACCGGGTAGGCGCATACGAACGTGCGGACCAAAGCGTGTGCCAGGTACGTTGCTCGCGCGCAATCGTTTGCAGCGTCCATGCTGTGCAAGCTCCGCGACGTTGCCAGCATGCACTCGGGGTACTTTGCTTCGCTCTTGGCGCTGGCGTCGACGCATGTACGTGCTGTCAACGCCGCAGTCCAACGCGACCATGATGGAAACGACAATAGACGCTGTCGTCGAGTTCGTCCAGTCGAAGCGACGTTGGCGCGGTCGTGACCACGTTGCGCTGTGCTCTGGCGTTTGCACACATGTCTGGCAGTATGAAAGGCCGCCGCCTCATGGCAAACCACCCGGACGTTGCCCCAGGACTGAATAGCATGATGCGGACGGGCCACCACGAAACGCAGCTCTACGCAGCCATCGGGCTTTGCAACTTAGCCATGGAGGCATGTCGCTCGTGCCCATTTCGTTGGACACCAATCGACGCAACGTTGTGATTTTTGTAGAGAGGCGCAACCCCCGACCGCATTTGGGCAGACAACACAGTCAGCGACTTCATTGTCGTGGCACTTCTTCGCGTCAACAGCGACGAGACAAAGCTCAAGTGCGCCAAAGTGCTGTTCAACTTGCTCACGCACGACGACACGAGGGAAAAATTGATTGTCGATGGTGTGTTGTACGCCCTGATCAAACTCGCCAAGCTCGAGATCGACACGATCCGGGAGCTGTGCCTCCAATCGATCTACAACATTTCGCTCGAGCTGGGCAAAGTTCAGCGCCTCGTCGACATGGAGATTGTCCGCATCCTGAGCACCATGTTCCAAACCGACCATTCCAAGGAAATGAAACGACTCGTATGTGGCATTCTTAGCAACATCAGCGCCGTCGCGGGCAACGAGCGACAGCTCGTTCACGAAGGTACACGAGAATCCATCGTGCGTTGTGTTTCATGGGTCAGCATGTTCACGTGGCGTGCGGTCTTTGGCAGGGGCGCTCGCCATCATTGCATCCCTTGTCAAAGCTCGCGACCCCGAAACCCGAGTGTATTGTGCCAGCGCGTTGAGCAACTTTAGCTGCAACCCGGATGTGGCCGAGTTTATGCTGAAGGACGAAGGCAACATCGTTGCGATCCTCATCTCGCTCTCCCGCGCCGAGAGCAAGGACATTCGACGGTATGCGACGGGCGCGATCTCCAACTTGAGTGCGTCTCGCCTCGGCGTCGACGTGATGACGCGAGAAGGCATGATCGGGGCCATGCGCGAGCTCTTAAATCGCATCACGTGCGACGTCACGCTGGCATTGTGTGTTCGTGCGTTGCGCAACCTGATGGTGGACCCCGACAACCAAGCCAAGCTCGTGGCATGCCATGGGGTCCAAATTCTATCCAACTTGATCGAAGCGGCCAGTGTCCCCGCGGATGAATCGTTGGCGCCCGATGGAAACGAAGGCAAGTCTAGTCCGCAACATGCCAATCCCGCCGTCGCGGCAGCCCTTGCCCAACACCGCAAGGACACGGGCATCATTTGCGCCGAGTTGCTCTGTCTTTTGTGCACCAATGCAGGTGAGCATGGAACAGAGAGAAAAAAACTGGCCATGCCCACGACCATTTTGGTATAGGCGTCGAGCTCCAGCTCGTGGAAGATGGAATCGTTCGCGCGCTGACGGCCATTTCAAAGCAAAATCCCGCAAGCGCCTCGGCCAAGCTCGACATCATCAGTTGCTTCAGTTCGTTGTCGAAAAACCCGCTCGGCCACGACCAGATGCTCAAAGATGGCATCATGGAAGCTATCGTTAGCTTGTGTATGGACAACGACGACCAGTCCATGATGCTCCGGGCATCGTTGATACCACGACTCGGAGAAGCATTTGTCTACCACATGATCCTGACCATGCGCAACTTGACGAGCGCAAAAGACACGATGCAACCGTCGCACGCGGAGGGCGCGCCGCCCGTGCACAGCCATGATGTGAATCGGGCGCGGGTGTCGTCGCAAGCAAATGCAATTGCAATCCTCCTCGCGTGCGCAACCTCCAGTCAACCCGACACCCGAGAGCACGTTGCGGTCACGTTGTTCAACTTGAGCTGCCACCGCCGGTCGCGGGGCCTCATCATTTCAAACGAAGGGGTTAAGGTGCGCACCATATTGATACATTCTTGCACCTGTCCCCACCTCGATAACAAACGCCACTGCGTTCTCGTAGGTTCTCATCCGCCTGGGGCAGAATGCCGGCGGCCAGAATGCTGCAATGATGAAACACGTGTGTGCCCTGGCGTTGCAAAGCATGTCGACTCACCAGGATGCCAACATCATGCAACCTGGCTTGATCTTGGCCATGACAGCGTCCATGACGGACCTCAACGTGGCATCGATCACTGCTCAAATGAGTGAATCGATTGCCAAGAAGACCGCGGCTGTCGTCGCACCCGTCCAGTTTTTGAAAAACCGGACGCTCACGACTTTCCTTGCCGGGGCCAATTTTGCCATCCACCATCGTGGCACGCCGGCCGACTGGGTATGACTGCCCCCGACATTTCGGTGGCGCAGCTTATTCACATTTGACATGCTAGACCCAAGTACCAGCAAAATTGCCCCCGGACGACGGGATTCAGGCCCTGTTCCAAGCGGACGAGCATGCTGAAGCCGCAGAGCAGGACGTGGACAACAAACAAGTGTTGGCGGCGTCAGCGCCGCGCGCTTGCAACCTCGACGCGACCTGTGGAACCCTCACATTCCTTCAGGACGACGTTCTTACCAAAAATAAGATGCTCTTGGGGCCACATGGCCAAGATTTGCTGCATGGACGCCCCAAGAGCTCGTTGAACAGTGTGGACATGCTCCATCCAGTATCACCATTGCCAAGTACGTCCGATACGGCCGACGTGTCGCTCTTGACACGAAGCATGCCCTGATTGAATTTGTCTGGCAGGCACGAACCACGAGAAAGACATTCCAAAAGAGTCGAACAGCATCATCAAAAGCGATCCAGAAGTCATCGTGCAAGGCCGTAGCTCTGCCGCTCAAGTTCGTAAGGAAGCCACCAAAACGTTGAAGCCGGCAACGCCTCCCAGTCCCGTGCGCAGTCCGTCCAAGAAACAGCTCCAAGCGCGTCTGGAACCGATTCAGTAATGCAATCGTAAACGTGCTACCCACCCTCTTGCATCTCTCGTTCATGCCATCCCCAAGTCATGCCGCGGTGTACACTGCCGCGCATGGCTTTCAACATCCAACTCATCACGTTTTATTCTTCAAAGTCACCCTGTCCATAAATATCGTCGACGTCCCCACCGTCGCTGCTCTCCTGGCCGTCGTCTAGAATGCCACTGCCGTGATCGACAGTCACGTCCTCATTTGGCATGGCGACGCCATCATCGCTGGCTTGAGCTCCAGTTGGCGCTGTTTCGTTGACGAGTTCGTCGACGGAGTTCCGAGGCGAGATGCCACCGCCAGATCCAGTTGAACGGCTTGAAGGAGGACTTGAGGAATCTTGGCTCGATGTGTTCTCGGCGCTGGCTTGTTGATTCGGCAGGTTGTTTCGACTTGACGGGGGGGTCGACGAAGACTGGCCTGCTTGCGGCTCGATGCGAGGCGTCCCAGCGGATGGAGTCATTACGTTGGCAAACTCAATGTCGTCAGAGTACGTCGCGGACTCTGTGGGGGACGACGCAGCCCTTGGACTAGTCCTGCCAGCGCCCGAGATTGGCGCAACAACCTCCAAGGGATTCAGGATCTCGTGTAGTACGTCGACTATGCTTTGTTGGTCAGGCGGTGCACTGTCCGGAGCTCCATCCAGCGTGTCGCGCCCCGTTGCAGGTGCCGACGATGCAAAACCATCGTCGGAATACGGCATGGACTCTGCTGGCGACGTCGCTCCGTGCGCGTGTTCCTCCAATGATATCTCTGAGGTAGGCGCTGCTTTGCCCGACTGTGGCATGTAGTCTGTCTCCGCGAGAGCAACGTCTGCCTTGGCCATCTTGCCCACGTCGGCATCGCGACCTGTACTGGGTGCGGAAGGATTTGCAAACCCATTCTCCGAAGAAAACGCGGATTCGGCAGGAGATGGCTGATCTGCCTGACTCAAACCAGCGAGGGCAACCGCGATTGGAGCCACGTCCGGCAGATTGTGTGGACGAGCCGTCGACGCTAACGCCACGGATACGTCGTGCGCGTCGAGGTCGACTGTAGCCACGATTGGCGCGTTGGCGTCCTGTGTCGGGTGCAAAACGTCGGCGTTTACGCTGTCGACGTCCCGTTCGAGTGGAGCGACCGCGTCAGGTTGAGCGTACGCCGCACCAAGATCCTTGGTTGCATGGAGTTCGCGCTGCGTGCTTTCGTTCAAAGCCTCGATATCTTGCATGGACGTCGGCTCTTCATGCGACGACCTGTCGTATTCGTTGTCATCCACGACACCAGAGCAGCCGAGTTCACGTGGAGCTACGGTCTCCTCGACGTCGTGGCTCACGAGGCTTGCGCTGTCATCATTCAACGCTCTTTCTGGCCCAGAGCCTCGAGGATCGAGGGCAGAATGGATTGTTTCGGGTTGTGCAAACCTAGCAACGGGAGCTTCATCGCTCGTAGCTTCGGGGTCGCCTCGATCCGTCTCAACACCTTCAAAGTCTTCTCTGTATAGATCGTGCCGTGCATGTTCTTCTGCGTTGTCCGAGAGCGGTGGCACACCAGACTCTGGGGCTTCCACGTCACGCAGCTCATGCATCAGGGTGTCTTGGCGATTCGTTGGTGGCACTACAGTGGTGTCGGCGGCGACTGTCATCGTTGCGTCAACCACCTGGCGGATGGTTTCTGAATCGGCGATCGCTCGACACGGTGCTGCGTCGCTGAAAGAGTCGCTAGTAACCTTTTCCACCGACGGTGGCCTGTCGGTGGAAGAACCTTGAGCTCCCATGTCGATGGCCTCATCGGTGGCACTCCTGCTGAACGCTGCTGCATCGTCGCGGAGCACTGGTTCTTCCTCACCATCACCAGCAATCGCCACTGCAGGTTTGCATTGGTCGCTATCTGGCGTTGTAGCATCAGGCACAGCAGAAACGTCGATGTCGGGCACTCTTGGTTCGGGTGCGACGTCGCATTTCGTGACAGCGCCGTCGTGATTGCGGTAGTCGGAGTCACTCGTTGGGATATTGGAGGCGTCATCTGCAGCATTGACGGACCGAAGCGTGTCGACTGCAGCCTGCTTTGGAGCACCAAGGTTCACTGCAGGCAGTCCAAGGTCCAGGTGATTTACGCCTTGTGCTGCTTCAGCCGTGGTAGCGCTGTCCTCAGAGTGCACTACGTCTTGCTCATCGTCGTGGCCTTCGAAGTCGTCTCCATAAGGGTCATCCAAGTGCGCATCGTGCCCTGCTGGCTCGTCCACGGTTGGAGCGACCTCTGGACCAGTTGCCATCGCGTCGTTCGTAGCATTCGCCTCTGATGAAGCGTCCTCTTGCTCTTCGATCTGTTCGCTCACAAACGGAGGCATTTCGGAGGCTGGGTTGTCCGCATGGACCATAAGGTTTTCGACAGCTTCCAACTCGATATCGTGGTGGGCAGGATTGCCAGCATCACCATTGCCTACACCGTCGCTGACTGGGCGCTGTGTCGACTCGATTTCGTGTGAAGCGTCAGGAAGTCGTCCGTCCATGCTGCCACTGCTTGCATCCACCAACAACTGAAGCTCCACCGGCTCGACAACGTCGGGCATGGCTTCATGTAGCCGAGGTGTTGGCAACCTCTCTGGCTCGTTCTTTTGCTCATGGAAGTCAAGCGCGTCTCCATCGGGTACAACCACGTCGTCGGGTTCCGTTGATGAGCTTTGACACGTTGGCTTGCTAGCTAACGCCGAAGAATCCGTTGCTGGATTCGCAGACTCAAGAGGTTGCAGACCAGATGAGCTCACGGCATTGCAAACCCCACTTGCGTCGTCTTTGGTTACGAAACACTCCAGCGCTTCCTCCACCTTTGAAAACGCGATTTCAGTCCCAATGTCGGTCGTTCCCTCCGTCCGATATGTTGGGGCAGCTTCAGTGGGAACGATACGTTGGTCCTGGACCTTCATGTCCTCGGAGCCTTGCGCCCCCTCCGTGCTTGACGATGGCCACGACGGTGTTGCCACGTCGCTGACTGTTGAATCACGGTCGACTCGTTCCGTCGTGATTCCATCCGTCGCAGCGTCGGAGCTACTTCGATCGGTCGCAAGATGTTCAAATTCATCGTCCTCATATGCCCCAATGTCTTCTGCGGCGCGCAACAGCGCAAAATTCCATCCCTCGACAGGGGGAACGGGATGGGTAGTGGCACATGCCTCGGTACGCTCGTGGTGCGCGGAAGTCGACTCGCATCGGTTTCGTCCGCTTTCACCAACGTCGGCGATCGCTTGAGCTGTCGAGTCGCAGTCCGTGGTATGGGCAAACAAAAGGGAAGTGTCTACAACGTCGACGGCTGACTTGCAAGGCGAACTCGCGAGATCGACTTGACTCGACATGCCGCCCTCCGATTTGACATCGTCTCGAACGTTCTCGTCCGCGGATGGTTCGGCGCGACCAACATTACCGGCAACCACACCGGCATTTGTGGCGTCAGGTGCATGGTTTTCCGTCGGGTTGTCTTCGTCGAATGGACTGGAAGGACTCGCCAGATCATTACTCGGCTCATTCACGACGTCGCTCTTCGACAAACCGTCGCATTCCATCTTGATATTAAGAAGCTCGTCAACGGAAACGTCATTGCTGCCAATGCACTCGGAGAAGTTGCTCGTGGTTGCATCGCGTTGACGCTCCGTCACGTTTTCAGACGTCGTGGGCAGATCGTTGTCCGGATCTGTTTCTCGTCGCGGAGAGATCACAGACTGCGGTGCGATTTGAAGGATGTTGTCCGTGGCTTCGTGTGGCGTATCGCCCAAGTCCGTGCTAGTTCCATTCGTCGGTACGAGCTGTGGCGACTCCATGGCTGTCGCGTCGATGTTCGCAGGAGTGAACAAGCGACCTGATGTGTCCTTTGCAGCAAGACCACTTGCATTCTCCGTACGAGACGCATGTCCAAGAAGATCAAGTGGCAGTTCGCCGACCAACGGCTCGTCGGGGATCTCGGACATCTGGGACTTGTCTCGGTGGGAGGAAGGGCTCTCTTCCGTGGCGCCAAGTCGTGTGGTGTCTGAAGTACCTCCTGTAGTAGCTTCAACTTCACTGCCGCGAAACTGAAGGTGCTGAGGATTGTCCTGTGGATGGGATGGTTCTGGCGGTTCGTGGATGACTGGACTCTCAGCAGCACCATGATGATCGGAAGGAATGTCATCGGCGTCGTCCGATTCTTCAGTTGGTATCGTGTGGTTTTCGTCCTGCTGCTCTGAATGGCCATGCGCGCTATCCACCACTTCGTCCCGTGCTAGCGTTGTAGAATGGTCGGGTGAGTCCAATTCCTCGGCATCGTATCGTTGCCCCACATTGACGGGCATGCCCACCATGGAGATTGGGACCTCTCCTTCTGTGGGCGAGTCCAGTGGCGACATGGCACCGGGTGTGGCTTCATCTGTTGGAGAGGTTTCCAGCAACGTATCTTTCGAGGTACTGGGGCTGATGGCAGTACAAAATGGCGTCGCCTCCACTGCACCGTCCCGGGCCTTGAGGATGTCCAAGCAACCGCTGCAACTCGTGCCGTCCTTGGGCAACTCAAAGTGTGGCTCGAACGGACTGGAATTTTCCGTCTCTTGGGCCGTGATTACGTCTGCAGTCGTGCCGCCAGGTATTGAAGCGTCCTGCGTCGCATCCATCTCCCCGACCACTCCATTGTCGCCACATTTTTCATGATTTCCCTGGACACTGTCGTTTCGAGCATCGCCAGTTTGCGCAGTGCTTGCAGCCAGCCCGACTTTTTCTAAGGAGGTCGACTCTTGTGACAGGAGGCTGTCAATACGCATGTCTGGCACTGATCCTTCAGCATCCTGGATCTCGTTGGCTGAGTGGACCTCTTTGTCCAGCGCCACGACGACGACGGCGGCGGCGGTGGCGTCGCATGGCACCGCTGGAGACGCCACGTCCGCGCCATTGTCGCCATCTTCGTCGATTTCTTCCGCTTGCTCAAAGTCGTCATCCTCGTACGATGCCTCGGCAGGGACTGCAGACGGTTGTTCTTCTACATCTTCCTCGACAGATTTCACCGCGCCACGCGACGCCGTCAGGACGGATTCGTCGCTTCGAATGGAAACGTCGCCAGCAGCATCGAAATCGTCGTTCGCTGGCAGGTTGTCGATGGATGCACTTGCATCCATGGGACGAGCGGTGTCGAAAGACTCCATCGGAGGCTCCGCATTTGCAACATGTTCTTCAGCATGCATCACGACGCTCGTGTCGTGCATGACGGCTGGTTCCACCAACGGCTCCAATCTGTCCTTCGGCATGGGTAGAAGCGATGTTTGCTCGGGCAAGGATGGGTCCCGTGGCGTTGCCGTAGCAGAAGCAATCCGCTCGACAACGGTCGATATGCTTCCACTGCTGCCGAGTGCAGGAGCAAGGGGGGCGTTTGCAGGCATATGCTTGGACTCTACGACCGCAGGTGGACCCTCGTTGGCCTCGGTGCTGAGTGTTCTCCCTTCGACTGGACAATGGGACGGAGGTTGGGGTCGTTTGCGTGCTTTTTTCTCAGTAGATGCTGTCACGGGCACGATCGGCGGTTTGTCCGTTGTCTTGGCATGCGGTGTATGGAGGGATTTCTTTGTCGAGGCAGGCGGGAGACCTCTGGGGGATGGAGCATGGGACGTGTGGTGCGTTTTCGATTCCCTTGGAGGTTGTTGGGGAGGCAGCTGCGACGGGTCGAACTTGACGGTATCGTCGCAGTCGCTAAGGTTGCAAGCACTCGGAGGTCGACAAAGCGCGACTTCGGCCTTCTTGATCATTTCGTGCAGCTTGTCTGAAAAACTCAACCTCGTTTCAGCGACCGGACCATGGTCCACACTCACGACGGCGGCGCCGTCGACAGCGTGAAACAGTTGCGTGGCCAGTTGTGTCAGGTCGGATGGCGGCACAACAGGCGCCGTCAGATTGGATTTGGACAAGTTTTGCTTGACGACTTTAATCGGGGTCGTCGCCCGCGCGGGTTTGCTTGGCGTCATGGCGGGTTTCTTCGGTGTACTGCCACCAGACTTGGAAAGAGGACGTGGGGCGACTCCACGACGTTGCAATGTCGGCTCCTGTCCTGGAATCGTTGGGGGCCGTGCGGCGAGGGATTTTTCGTGCACGGATGACGAGCTGGTCACGCTGCCCCGCCCTGTGGTGTGCAGCTTGGACGTTGACGACGACGGTTCGATGTGGGAATGTTTAGCAGAACGCGCAGAGGTCGATGTCGGAAGGCCACGAAGGCGGTCAATGTTGCGAATCGTTGGAACTCCGTACGTCCGTAGCAAGATGTTTTCCCGATCTTGCGCCGAGACCATGGGCGACGACGCCAAGATGCCCTTGGAATGGGACGCTTGAATCAATCGTTTTTCCAGCTTGACTTCAAATGGAGTAAACGTGTGTTTTGTTGCGGGAAAGGCGTCGGACAAAGACGATGGTTTTTTCACGGACGATGGCGCGGACGACCCCATCGAGAATTCCAACGCCGTCGAGGGCTTCTTGAGCGAGTTTTGTTGAATCTTTGTGAGGCTGTCGGCCACGTTGTGGCTGAGTTGCGGCGCTGGGGCCATGGTATTTCTCGAGAAAAGGGTCGTCTTGCTAGGAGTGAAGTCTCCGCCGCCGGCCGTAGCCTTGAGTTGTAATTTTGATTGCTTGCGAACAGACTCGTGCGAACTCTTTGTCTGCGATTGCTTGGGTTTGTGCGGCTTTGTTGACTCAAAGAGGTCACCGCTCAGCCGCAGGTCCTGTTTTTGCAGAATTCCTTTGGCTGTTTCTTGGACTTTGGTGGTCGTCCCATGCGTCATGCTGGACAAGGCGATTTCTCGTGTCGCGGGTTGCGAGTACGACGCAATTCCTGCCGACAGCGCCCCCGTCAGCCACGTCGATGAAAGACAAAGGCGAACCATTGTCATTGGGATACTTTGCCATGACAGTCGACACGTCGGCGAGCGCCCCGATGGATCGCAAAATGTTGGCGCTTTCACGATCTCGTGCGGCCAAGCTAGAGGTCGTGTCAAGGCGGGCTTTGTGCGACTCGCGCACCCCAAACGTACCATAGGACCAGGGTGCATGCGGCACACGCGACCTTTTGGTCTTCGTGTTGATGGCCTTGGCGAAGCAAGAACACAAACAGGTGGATGGGAGAATGGTAAGTTGGATGCGAAGCGGACATGAGTCGAAGGACGCGGGGGTCGCCGCCGTCGCAGAGCTTTGCAAGCACTAGTCGGGGCAGATCGGATGCGATGAATGGATCATGCCCACGTGTCTGCTTCGACGACGCGACTCGGGACCGACCGTACCTTCACACGCGTAAAAGTGTACTTGCCTCGAATAGTGGTTCAGCGTCTGGTGGTCGTGAAGAACTTGGACAATGAGCTTGGCGACTTGGCTTTCCAGCATGATGTCGATTCCCGTTGCTTGTGCAATCGTGGCCAACACGCCGCATGCAGATGCCTGCAGCGAGAAATCAAACGTCGTACGACAATATCGGTTGTCGACAAACCTGGAGGACCGCGTCGTGCGGGAACCGCATCATCACGGACGACACGGCGTCGAGGACGGCCAAGTCGATAAACTTGACAAACGCTGCTTCCGACACGGAGCACATGCGCCGAACGATCACAAACACAAAACACACGAGGATCGAGTAGCCCGCGTTGGCCTGGACGCACTGGACGAGGGCCAACTCGCCGTCGTGCTCGCGGCAGCAGTCGACTGTGACGTGTGGCGAGATGCGTAGTTGTTGCAGCAGCTGCGCCAGCGCGTTTTTCTATCCACAAGAGGAGGGGGTTGGGGGCGGAGACGGCAGCGGTATGGTATTCCCACGTACCACGACAATCATCGAGTCGTTGTCGACCACGGGTTCGCGTATTGTTTTCAGGATGGTTTGGATTTCTTGTTGGTGCGTCAGCACGGAAGACAACGCTTCGTCGGCTATTCCCGCCGCCGTCGACGCTTGATCGGAAGAGTCCAGGCTCACTGGTTGAGAAGCGCGACGAGATTTTGTCACGATTTCCACTTCGTGGGGTGGCGACGCGATTATCATGGACGGAGTCGCAGCAACGTCCACAGGCACGACGACGACGTCAGGGGCAACCGCGGCAACTACTTCGACTGCCGGAGGATCTGGACGGATGGTGACTTGAGTGGCAGGTGGGTTGTCAAGCACACATGGTTGGGACGAGGACGGCGAAGGTTGCATCTCGAGGTCGTGTGGCGTGCTGTTTTCTTGGACAGCAGGGACTCGGTCGCTCTGCCGTCTGGACGATGGCCTTGACGACGGCCGTGACACAACAGTTCCTTCTACGATCTCTGGAGATGCAATGGCGTCGATATCAGCGCCGTCCTCGTGCATGCCGAGGCCACGTGCGACGATTCCCACAGGCGGCACTTGCCCACAAGTTGCAACGTCCAGGGTGTCAAAATTACTCGGCTCAGATGGCGCTTCTGCCGCACACATTGCATTGTTCTCAGTAGTGTTGTCGTGGAAAGACGCATGTTCGTCCACAACAGGGACGTCCGGTGGGGCCGCGGACCTGTGCTCTGCTGTCGTCTCGTCCAAGCTGCCTTTGACCGTTGCATCATCTTTCGATTGCAACGAGTGTTGATCTAGCGGCGCAACGACCGCGGAATCGTTCTCCACACCTGCCGATGTTGATACCGTCTCGGCTTGCTCGGGCTCAGCTGGAGCGGATTCGTCCACAATAAACGCGAACGGCACAGCGCCTTGATACTCGCCGTCGTCGTAAGAGATGGCATAGGTTTGGGCGTCGCAATCAATGTCAGCGATGACGCCGCCGTAGACATCTTCGCCGCGGTTGTATCGAGCTAACACACGTGACCCGACAGAAAACGTGCCTGCCACGTGCAGTCGAATGCGCGATTCTGGGACAGCGTCTTCTCGCTCGCCATCATCATACTGAATGGAATAGGTGGACCCGTGGAGGTTGTCGACAACGCCTGGGAACCATACGTCTCCTCCGTCATACAAGCCATCGACACGAGTGCCGACAGAGATTGTCCGGGCCATCTCCATACGACACTCGTCGCCAACTTTCCTGCGCTCTGTGGCGAAAACGGACATTTGCAATCGGTTTCACGTGAAACCGTCATAGGCGTCTGCAACCGATCATGTAACTCCCGCGATTTCCAGCAACAATACGTGTTGTTCCGCGCGGATAAAGTCGACGTGCGCACGCCACGTCCTCGATCCTGTCGTTGTTAAAAGTCTCGTCGATTTGTGTACTCGTTGAGAGCAAATGGAATTGCCCAACAGTGGACGGGTCGTGGTACAACAAGTGCAGGCAAAGCGCACTCGTCCGTAGCTTACGTCAAGCACGTGGCGGCAAACTACGCCACGCGACGGCGACCGGAAATACATTTAAAATCGTTGAAGATGGCCCACGGGCAGCACAACCCGTTGGCAGGCGGGCGATGCGGAAGTGTGAGCTGCAACACCCCCACCACGTATATCCATCTCTACGGAACATCGCATGACCCGGCATCGCATGGCCGAACGCCAAGATCAATGATTGATTCGGTCAGTCAGCGCTATCTGGCATTTAAATGAGCAAATCTCTGGGATGCAGCAACTAGATGCGGCAGGGTGGCCAGCGTGGTCGTAGGAACTCTCTCCGTCGGACCTGTCTAATGCCATCTCGACATGGCATGGCCAGGCGAAGAATACATTTGACATGACGCAGAGCCAGATCGCCGCTGTAAGAGCTCCACGGCACTTTTAGTGGATGCACGTTAAGGTTTTCCCACGGTATTCAACATGGTTGCCACCTCATTCCCCATGAGTCGTTTGGTCATTGCTTCTTCCATTCTCTCGCGTGGAGGACTAGATCACAAAACTCTGACAAGTCATTCTTCATAATTACCAACTCGTTCCGCTGCGTGTACCCAACCACAGCCGCTTTCTGCTTCCCATTTGGCCAGCACAATTTCATTTGCGCTGCATTCGTCTACGATCGATTCAACATCAGGTAGAAATGTTTGGCGTCGGCAGCAATGCTTGCGGCGGGGCGGTCTTTGTCTACATCTACCACACGTGGTTTGACCACGACGTCGACGCCTACTTTACTTTCAT